GGATGAAAGAGAGAGACGAACCAGATTAGAAATGCCACAATATTCCACCGGGGTTGTCGCCCTTCCATTCTTTTACAAAATAGCACACATGGAAATCATGTTTCAGTGTAAACGACATCAAGATGGTATTTCGCATATTATGGAAGCAAAAAATATCAATAAAACAGAGAACTGTTTTAGTGAACTGATAAAGAGATCTGGTTCAGAGAATGTTGAATCCTTCATGAAAGGATGACAAAGACATGGTGAAAATCAAATGTTATTTACTTTTACTTTATTAAACATTTAGTTTTTGCGTTCTGTGTTTGATTTTCTGTATAGACAGTTTATAATTCTGGTTACAGTTGAATATGATTTTTTAAGGTGTTACAGAATTTGATACGACATATATAGTTTATATGAAAGTTGAGAGTAAACCAACATTTATATTTCCCCGTAAATATAGCCATAGATGTAGAAACTCTAACAGGGCCAATATTTCATCACCTCAGTTGTACATCTAAGAAATGAGCATTATAATTCAATACTGTCCGAAACTTGCTTCAGTTTAGAGAGTACAGAAATTATCAAAGGATTTAAGCATTTTATTGTTTATTGGAGACATTGGACTGTACTAAAATTTTATTAAACTGACATATAACAACTGATGGGGGACAGAATTTCGGTATGACCTACAAATATTATAGTTTCTGAAATGATCGTCTCTAATTAGTTTCCAGTTGCAGGTGTTTTTGTTTTTGACAGGTCGGATAGTGTGCGAGATGTACCTTTGTTTCTATACCTGACACGTTCATAGAAATCTACTTAGCAGTTCTCATTAGGTGACCTTGTTGTACCCATAGGAAATGGATTTGTCATGGATCAGGTATTAGTTTTTCTTTCAGGGAACTTAACATACACGTATCTCAATAAATTTAAATGTAAACCTGTTTGAAGCTTCACAACGACAATAACGCACTTTCCAATGCTTTTAGAGTAAGTTTAAGAAACCTTGTCGTGCCTGTCTTAGTGAAAGTTCCCGTGCGATCCTATTTCATCTAACGTAATAGTACATCTTATTGAAACGTCGAAAACATGCCATCATGAAACACTTCAACGACACCGCTTTAACTACATAGAGAACAGTATTACCTTTGATAACCATGTTTTCTACCTTGGTTTCAATTCCTTGTGAAGCAACTGTTTCAATCAATACGATAATGAACGTTATCAAGGTCGTGAAAGTCAACGCATTGTCCGCTTTACAGAGATGAAATACTGTTTTATTTTCTGCAAGTGTTTTTGTGAAACTTTGTTATTAGAAGAAATCGCACACACTAAATTGCATTTATAGAAAATCGAAAATAGAATTACTGAGTGATATATTTTAACAGTATATCTGCAAGAGAAATTTTATTTTTATACCATGACAAAGCTGCTCAAACTTTCCTCAAACCTCGTACGACTTACTAGATTAAACAGCCGTCTTTCTGGAGTGAAACCTGCTCGAAAGTATAAAGAGTAATCTGACGTAAAACGAATCGGCCACATTACTGATGGGATCTTAATTAGCACGAGGTGAAGAACAAATAATGGAAGGTTTCTTGAATGAACACACCCAAATAGAACTATATCGTTATATTGCTAATTGCTATTTATCCTTTTATTTTGTAGCTATTGCTAGATGTTTGAAAATAGGTTATCTTGGCATGTTTAAAAGCTGATTACATACTCCAAAATAGAAAGAATTCCTTGGAAAACTCGTCCCGCTTTATGGTACATTTTGTCACCACTGTCACGTTATCTGAAATGACTTAAATCTATACTTGGTTTTCCCAAGCATATTAAAGGCGGGTAATTATATTGAATTTAGCCAATGCTTCAAACAATCAAGCATAGCTTGTCTTTACTGCGTCAATAAAACCAGCGGTTGTTGAAAAAAACAAGTCTTAGTTACGATGGCTTATCAGCCGACTGTTTTGCCAATCTTCTTGATTAAATTTTTGAAATTGAATGCTGAAGAGAAAGCATGCATCAGTCGTTTTTAATTCCGTTTTAAGTCGTTCATGGTCTGCAGAGGTAACATAAAGGGAAGTCCACGCTTGCTTTTGTACAGGGTGTTATTTATCAGCTTAATTATACACAAAATCACCTGTCGTGTCTCTACCGTCAGGTACTCTGCCTTGCACGTAGATTACTTCTGGGGATCTCCTTTTTATGTGGAAGTAAACACACTCTAAAAATAGACTTTAAAATGAATTTATTCAAGTACTTTGAAAGTCGGCTTTGAGACAATCTTTATTGTTCTGTTGTAAATAAAGCGAACTTCCATGCCACTGTTAATCAACATCCACCGCACAATGTTTTCCTGTGACACAACCAACAGGGACAGCTTTTAACTAAAATAGGTATGTTGTTGTAAACTTTCCATCTCTCAATTGTAACCCCAGCTTCCCAAATCTACGCTGTTTACATGTGGCCGTATCTAAGATCTCCAAATGTTTGTTCCCAATATCACGATTTCTTATTACAAAATTCATAGAGACATTTAAGCATTGAACTGCTTTCAACTGGACAAAGGCAAATTTAATGAATGCCAATTGAAAGCAGTTCAGTGCTTATGTTTATCGCTTGTGATTTATGGTCCAATCACACCTAATTTACTTTAAAAAATCAAAATTTCCCGCCATTATTGTGTAGAGATCTGTCAGCAGACTTACCGTGTGCTTCCGCGCAAAAACATAGTGCGCTCGATAAAAGAATACACATCAGAAATATTCACTGTACTAACAAAGTTTGATACACATGAACAAACGGATAAAACATATTTCAATGTTAAATTCAATTGCCATCTACAAAAGGCAATATTACAATCTTTTAATTTTGTCAAATTCGCGGGGAGGCAACCTCAATTCGTTTCCAGTACTGTTAAATTCATACGCCAGTTGGCAGTAATGAAGTGATATTGCGCAACTACAGTTGTTAAGGTTATATAGTGGAAATACCATGGAGTGGTAAATATAGGTTGGAAACAATGACTACAGGAACACTGTATAGTCATTACCGTGACCTCAATGAAAACTACTTTCTTTTCTTGTGCGATGTCTTGAATGGTCGAAAGTGACATACTCACTTGGATAAACCAAGATATAAATGGTGGATGTCGCCAATGAAGCAGAAACCGTTAATTCTTTTGGACCACCTGGTCCTCTTTGGTTGTGCCTTTTCAATTATCAAACTGATGTAAATCACTCCCCTGTCCTTTTGTTCCGTCGTTTCATCGATCTGATTGTGTTGACATGTCTGTATGATGAGAGCGTGTTTTTGAGGTGTAATCTTTGTAAAGACACTGTAAATAGAAATGCTTAGATGGCAATGTACTTTTCGCGAATAGTCACTGACATTCATACGTAAGAGATCTCCATCCTAAGTGCCCCAGAAAGTAGACCATGCAGTATCTTACTTCTGAAAGTACTGTGTCTGCTATTTACCAAGACTTAGTAAATAGTTTCGATCTATTTAGTATAATATCAACTCGGCCGCGATTTGAATAATGAGGCACATCAGTGTCCCCTGATATTTCAAATATATTTCAATAATGATAGATCTTTAGATTGGTGAAACTAAGGCTATGCATCTTTATATAACAGTAGCAGTGGCTTTAAACTGGTAGTACATTACAAATAGTCTTATTTGGCAAACTTCTCTTTGTACGAAATGTGATGTTGAAACAGTCTTTTAAGAACAGTAGATAGATGGTAAAGCCTGTTATTTCTTAATCTATTCTTCAATCCTATATCTATTGTGTGATTTGGTACAAGGAAAAGTAGCCTTTATGGTCAATATTTAATTAGAGTTGTAATGACTGTAGACATATGATCGAAATTTCGACGTTCACTTGTTGAACTACTCGTGTCTGCATGAATCTGTGTGCCTGCAGGTACAGTACATTTATTATATTTTATTGTGTTTTTGATTCTACATCTCCGCTCTTCCGATCGATCAGGTGAAGCACTTACCTCCATTTCCCCCGTATATAGAAGCATTATTTAGAAATCTGTCATGAGACTGGTCTGTAGATTTGGAAGCTTCTCAACGGTAGTGGGGGAAAAACTAGGTTTTCCCTGTATAGTTCATTCCTCGGCGGTGTGTTCGCTTCATCATCACGCCATTTGTTAAAATCATGATAACTTAGCAGTGATTCGGATCATTTTATCTTACTTATATACAGCGTACATGTACGTATCTCTTCCTGTGGTGGTAAATTGTGAGGAATTTGAAAAAGGCACCTTTGCGGTTTTAACGTTTAAGAACATAATTTTTACATTTAACTCTACACAAAATAATGTAATTCGTTTTAAAAATAATTGTTCTCGCAGATCACACAACTACCTTTTACCAGCATATCATAAATATATTGTATGTATGAAAGTCCCCAAACTTCCGTGCAACAAAGCACGAGTAGCACCACAGTTTACTCAATACTGTTATCCATGGGTCACTACAACTATACATGACGTCGAGGTATTTTATCTTGACATCTACTCTCGGTTTTTATCAAAGTGTCGCCGTAACCATATCGTCAAAACAGCACCGGTGTCAGATAAGCATGTTCGATGTGTGATTGGAATTCTGAGCGATAAGTCTAATCGTTACATGACTAATGGTTTGAGATGTTCGCTGTTTTCGGTGTATAATGCTGTCATAGTGAACCTGGTTTTATCTATAGCATGCTGAAATTGCTTCATTAATCATTCGGTAGTTCCCGTAAGCTTGGTACCGTGGGCATGGTGTATACCTACAAAGTAGTAGAATTAATATCGGATCGTTCCCTCTGTATTGCAGCGAGCAGCTAGTATGTTTGTGCGTGTTCATCCCAATCAACGGTTAGCCAGATATTAAATCTGGCCCCGTCACATTTGGTGCCAAGTTCACAAGTATACAGGATGCGTATAAGTGCTCAATATCCCAGGGTATCGGAATCGACTTCTACATTAGCTGCATTCGTTGCCAGAGTTAAGGCGTATTGGGTGTTTCGAGTGTCACAGAGGCATTCGGAGTGACAGTACCTTCCGACTAAGTCTGTGCAGGAATTCATCAGTGCCTGTAAAAGCGGGGTGTCATAAATGTGTCTCACATGGGAAACGTATGAGACGAATCCGTGATATCCGGTACAATTCCTCTTTCGCCTCTGTCGAGTCCAGTATGCGCTCGTCCATTACTGTTCATCTGACCAATGTGCATCTGTGTAAAGACGGACACTCTCACTAATACTAACTCTTCCTGGCCATCGTTCACCATCAGCCGGCGGCTAAAAGCTTTTCTAATTGTTTTTGTGCCACACTGCTTTTGATATTCAATTTGACAATATTGGTTTGTCAATCAGTTCGGGCGCAGAAAGCCTCTATCGTCTGTAGACGCAAATTGAAAATTTAATACCGTTCCAACCATTTACCGAGAAGAAGGAATTATAAATATATCTAATGACTCATTTAGGCTTCATACACATTTGCCGTTTTCTCGCTACTGATTGAAAATCAGAAATCAATATAATGTGTTTTGCTTTACGGTGGATTTTTCTCCGAATTTCATAGCCTGTGACCGTAGGACGAACTGCGAGACTTGCCCTTACTTTCTCCGAACCCTAATCACAGGACCGCCGCACAGATTGCCAATCATACACAAGGCTGATTCCTGATGCCATACTGAGTATAATTCACTTCAACCATAACGCACCGGAAGTGCCAAAGAGTAACCAACGGATGTGAGATGTCCGCAACATGTGGTTTGGGGTATTTGTGATAACCTTGACCTCTCTCGTGGTCACAACATGTTCCGTGGTAAGTCAGACTTGTTTAACTGGGCAGCAGTATAGTTTAGTAGCTGTCATAGATAATTCATCTTTTAAATCTTCCTTTATCTTATAGGGATGACTGAGGATTTTTCACCCTATAATTACATCAACTCACAACTTCCTATAATCAAGTTGATAAGTCGATGATACTTTGTACCGCTACACTTTTAATGGTTATTATTGTTATTGAAAAAAAACCTTGAATGAAAGAAAAGGTGTTTTATTGAATACTCAAGCTAACAAGATCGTCATCTAAGATAAAACGGTTTTATTTTGTTTTTGCTTTTTTTCTCTTTTTTTTTTCTCTCTCCGTTTTTTTTGGGTTTTTTTTCAAGAATAAATCAACATTCACAAGGACTATCTAATTCTCTCCTCGAGTAGCTATTCAGTTTTAATATTGTTGTTTAAAGTGATCGTTGTAATTGCTTAATATCATTGTTTATAGTGATAATGTGTCGTGGTTGTTTACTGATGTTTATAGTGATAATGTGTCATGGTTTTAATACTGATGTTTATAGTGATAATGTGTCGTGGTTGTTTACTGATGTTTATAGTGATAATGTGTCGTGGTTTTTTACTGATGTTTATAGTGATAATGTGTCGTGGTTGTTTACTGATGTTTATAGTGATAATGTGTCGTGGTTTTCATTCTGATGTTTATAGTGATAATGTGTCGTGGTTGTTTACTGATGTTTATAGTGATAATGTGTCATGGTTTTCATACTGATGTTTATAGTGATAATGTGTCGTGGTTTTCATACTGATGTTTATAGTGATAATGTGTCGTGGTTGTTTACTGATGTTTATAGTGATAATGTGTCGTGGTTTTCATACTGATGTTTATAGTGATAATGTGTCGTGGTTGTTTACTGATGTTTATAGTGATAATGTGTCGTGGTTTTTTACTGATGTTTATAGTGATAATGTGTCGTGGTTGTTTACTGATGTTTATAGTGATAATGTGTCGTGGTTTTCATTCTGATGTTTATAGTGATAATGTGTCGTGGTTTTCATTCTGATGTTTATAGTGATAATGTGTCGTGGTTGTTTACTGATGTTTATAGTGATAATGTGTCGTGGTTGTTTACTGATGTTTATAGTGATAATGTGTCGTGGTTGTTTACTGATGTTTATAGTGATAATGTGTCGTGGTTTTCATACTGATGTTTATAGTGATAATGTGTCGTGGTTTTCATACTGATGTTTATAGTGATAATGTGTCGTGGTTGTTTACTGATGTTTATAGTGATAATGTGTCGTGGTCTTCATTCTGATGTTTATAGTGATAATGTGTCGTGGTTTTCATTCTGATGTTTATAGTGATAATGTGTCGTGGTTGTTTACTGATGTTTATAGTGATAATGTGTCGTGGTTGTTTACTGATGTTTATAGTGATAATGTGTCGTGGTTTTCATACTGATGTTTATAGTGATAATGTGTCGTGGTTTTCATACTGATGTTTATAGTGATAATGTGTCGTTTATAGTGATAATGTGTCGTGGTTGTTTACTGATGTTTATAGTGATAATGTGTCGTGGTTGTTTACTGATGTTTATAGTGATAATGTGTCGTGGTTTTCATACTGATGTTTATAGTGATAATGTGTCGTGGTTTTCATACTGATGTTTATAGTGATAATGTGTCGTGGTTTTCATACTGATGTTTATAGTGATAATGTGTCATGGTTTTCATACTGATGTTTATAGTGATAATGTGTCGTGGTTTTCATACTGATGTTTATAGTGATAATGTGTCATGGTTTTCATACTGATGTTTATAGTGATAATGTGTCGTGGTTGTTTACTGATGTTTATAGTGATAATGTGTCGTGGTTGTTTACTGGTGTTTATAGTGATAATGTGTCGTGGTTTTCATACTGATGTTTATAGTGATAATGTGTCGTGGTTGTTTACTGATGTTTATAGTGATAATGTGTCGTGGTTTTCATACTGATGTTTATAGTGATAATGTGTCGTGGTTTTCATACTGATGTTTATAGTGATAATGTGTCGTGGTTGTTTACTGATGTTTATAGTGATAATGTGTCGTGGTTTTCATACTGATGTTTATAGTGATAATGTGTCGTGGTTTTCATACTGATGTTTATAGTGATAATGTGTCGTGGTTTTAATACTGATGTTTATAGTGATAATGTGTCGTGGTTGTTTACTGATGTTTATAGTGATAATGTGTCGTGGTTGTTTACTGATGTTTATAGTGATAATGTGTCGTGGTTGTTTACTGATGTTTATAGTGATAATGTGTCGTGGTTTTAATACTGATGTTTATAGTGATAATGTGTTTTAAACTGATGTTTATAGTGATAATGTGTCGTGGTTGTTTACTGATGTTTATAGTGATAATGTGTCGTGGTTTTCATACTGATGTTTATAGTGATAATGTGTCGTGGTTTTCATACTGATGTTTATAGTGATAATGTGTCGTGGTTGTTTACTGATGTTTATAGTGATAATGTGTCGTGGTTGTTTACTGATGTTTATAGTGATAATGTGTCGTGGTTGATGTTTATAGTGATAATGTGTCGTGGTTGTTTACTGATGTTTATAGTGATAATGTGTCGTGGTTTTCATACTGATGTTTATAGTGATAATGTGTCGTGGTTGTTTACTGATGTTTATAGTGATAATGTGTCATGGTTTTCATACTGATGTTTATAGTGATAATGTGTCGTGGTTTTCATACTGATGTTTATAGTGATAATGTGTCGTGGTTGTTTACTGATGTTTTTTCATACTGATGTTTATAGTGATAATGTGTCATGGTTGTTTACTGATGTTTATAGTGATAATGTGTCATGGTTTTCATACTGATGTTTATAGTGATAATGTGTCATGGTTTTCATACTGATGTTTATAGTGATAATATTTTGTCTAAATGTATTGTAGTTATAGCGACAATGTGTATAGATAATGTGTATAGATCATCACAAAATAACACATAATTATGATAATCTAAATTTATTGTAGTTGATGGTACTTTCTAACAATATTTTGACTCAGAAAGATGTGCTGGTGTTTGTCATTGGTTTAGAAACTGAGGAACATTCGTCACTCTTTTAAAATATTAAAGTTTTGAGGAAGCATCCGTTTTTTATGATTGAATGACGAGTCTAAGGTAGGCGTAGTTATCAACTAATGTCCGTTATTTAAGTGAAACCTTTGTTGATTTAATGATTAAAGTTATATTCATTTAAAGAACGGCTTTCACAATACGTGCGAGTTTGTAACATTCGAAATATCGGTGTACGGTAACAAACTATATGATTGGGTTTTGAATAATATATAATGGTGGATTATACAGTAAAATGTTGCTAAGTGTTTGAATGATATTGAATGGTTTAAAATGGATTGCTAGCTTTCCCTTGAGTGACTTTAGTAGTTACTCATTGTTCGTCCCTGACCGGGACACCACGAGGCCTGCTGTGGCATGTGTAATGGCAGTTTATCCTAATGATGCAATTGGCAAAGACAGGTTTATCGGGTACAACTCAAACTAATACAAATGACAACTCAGAATTGTTGAGCACGATAGATTGAAATCCATCTGTGATTTTTTTTTAATAAAAAGGAGAAAGTTGTCTTTTTATGTTTAAGGAGTAACCATGATTTATCTTGTCGTAGGCTTGCCGTTTTCACTTGGTTCGGCTATTACTCCCGGCCAAAATGTACATTGTCACGCACTGCTAGCCGTCAAAATGACAAACAAGATACATGATGTCCCAAAATAACAGCTCTATATAGCGTCGAAATGTATCGAAGGCAACGCGTGAGGGCTGTCTAAGGTCACAAGGGCAGATAACTCAACTGTTTGCAGCAAAGGGTTTTAAATAATTGAACGTTTGTCACTTACATGAATCATAAATGTCTGTTAAAATGTAGAAACACACAAGTAGCGTCACAATAACCAATATAGACCCATTTACCTTCATCATTTAAATGTATGTTTCATTTTATCTTAATTATTTTCATTCTGAAAGTATTTGCAATAAGTTAATTAATAAATCAGCGTTAACGAGGAAACGGTAATACTTCTATTGCTCCCTCGTCACCACGTTTTCGAGGCGAGAAGGAGAGAAATTGTGTATTAACGGACCAACGTGCCACCCCAGCCCCATACACCAATACATTGGCAGTTATATGTGTTTTAATTTGATATTGAAATGCAATGTTTGTTTTTACGTAGCAAAACTGTTTTGTGTTTTATCACTAATGAGGTGCTACAAGTACAAAGTAGTTTCATTCGATGATTAAATTGTCTCATGAATGCATACATAAACTTTCCATGTAGTCATTACCACACAAGCTAGTGTTAATATTAGCTAAATCTAATCCATGCAATTGATATGGCATGGCCTCAACAGACAGTCTGTATAACGATACAGGGCAGTCTTTATTACGATACAGGGCAGTCTTTATAACGATACAGGCGTAGTCTATATAACGATACAGGCGTAGTCTATATAACGATACAGGTATAATCATTATAACGATACAGACGTAGTCTATATAACGATACAGGCGTGGTCTTTATAACGATACAGGCGTAATCTATATAACGATACAGGCGTAGTCTTCATAACGATCGATCGTAGTCTTTATAACGATACAGGGCAGTCTTTATAGCGATACAGGTATAATCTTTATACCGATACAGACGTAGTCTTTATACCGATACAGGCGTAGTCTTTATAACGATACAGGGTAGTCTATATAACGGTACAGGCGTAGTCTTTATAACGATACAGGCGTAGTCTATATAACGATACAGCCGTAGTCTTTATAACGATACAGGGTAGTCTTTATAGCGATCCAGGTATAATCTTTATAACGATACAGACGTCGTCTGTATAACTAAACAGTCGTTGTCTGTATAACGATACCTAGGTAGTCTTTATAACGATACAGGCGTTGTCTGTATAACAATACAGACGCAGTCTTTACAATGATACAGGCGTTGTCTGTATAA